ACACAATTGATGTGTGTATGGATTGCGATAACAGTTGTATGAGGCCCTAATAAAATGTTTAAAAAAAAAAAATCACATGCATCAGGTCAGATTCTGTTTTGTTTAATGTTGAGCTCGGATGCAAAATCTTCTCGACATTTTGCATTGAAATCCGATTGTCGAGTACTGATGTGGTCGAGTGCCAGGGTTCTACTGTTTGCCTAAGGCTGACCCTTGTCTTGAACACTAAAGAGCTGTGTGGCCTTTGCAAAATGATTGAGGCTGAGCCCTGGTGCAGGTTACGAATGAGTTGGGCTAACCACAAGGTCAGCAGTTCAAAATCACCAGCTGCTCTGCAGGCGAAAGACAATGCTTTCTGCTCCTAGGAAACCCATAAGGGAAGTTCTACTCTGTTCCGTAGGGTTGCTATGATTGGGAAGTGACTTCATGGCAGTGTGTTTTATTTTTAAGATGGTGAAAACAGTACTGACCACATTAGATTGTTGGGAGGTTTGAGGTAGTCCAACAGGGCACTGAGTAAGCAGTGCCTACTCTTCTGTAACCCTGGTGGAAGTGTGTGTGTGTATCTGTGCAACAGTCATTGTGCTCTATCCAGATTCACCTCTCAACCCTTGCAGGGTGGGGCTTGGGAATCTAGGCTTTTATTGAGATATTATTCAGATACTAGAGATATTACCACTTTACAGTCACATCAGTGGCTTCTAATCATTTGCAAGGCTGGACAACCACTATCTCTATGTTAATTCTGAAATGTTGTCATCCCAAGAGAAAACCCAGCCCCAGGAGCAGCCACTCCCCATCCCACATGCCCCTTTCCCTTGGCAATCACTGATCTGCCTTCTGTCTCTAAGGTGTCGCCTATTCTGGACATTTCCTATGAATGGAACCACACGAGGGGGCCTTTTGTCAGGCTTCTTGCACTTGGCTGTAGGAGGCTCACCCACCGGGCAGCATCTCAGTACTTCATTCCTTTGGAATCCACACTTTAAACAGCCCCCCTGGGAGTTCTGATCAGTGGGTTTAGGGAAGAGTAACAAACCTACACAAGCCAGAAGTCACGGGGCTTGATGAAGACAAGCCTGTTCCGCTGTTGGGTGCTTCCTGGCTCAGCTGCCCCCAGGTCATGTGTGGCAGTGCTGGCTTGTGACCACCTGGGCCTGCAGAGGGCCAGAGTGAAGGGCTAGGCAGGCTCTCTGGGCACTCAGTGGGGAGGAGATGTGAGCCTGTGGACAGTGGCTGTGCTGCTCTGGGAATGGAGCAGATGAATTTCAAGAGATGCACACAGGAGACTCAGTCTAAACTCAAATACTTTACTGTACATGAAGCTCTTGGGTGGGAGGGGGAAGGGGGGACATTTCCAGGGAAACAAGTGGAACCAAAAGCCATAACCAGTAGGGATTCTCATTCAAAGCCTTGACATGAGCCCCAGCATGGGGGCAAACAGCTCCAGACCTCGGATCCATGGTAAGCATGTGGGGTCAGGGTGCTTAGCAAGAGCTGTGGCTCTGCCCACAGCATGGGCACGCGAGCAGGGCTGCTAGGAAGTGGGGGACGTTGATAGTGGCCACGGCTGACAGCTCTTCGGCAGGGCTGGGAGGGTGGAGGCTGATCAGATCATCCCCCCCCATGTGCTAAAGAAAAGGCACAAAACATCATCAGGGCCTCAGGCCCGCCCCGGTTCTGATGGGTAAACCTCGATGCCGCAAGCTTGGTAGAGCTGCTGAAGAACGTGGATACACAGGAGGTTGCACTTGAGGTCTCTGAATGACACAGATGGGAGGTATGTGCACCGGCAAGGCCCCAGGCCAGATACCACTATCTTGGAGAGGGGACCCAAGAGCTTCAGGAGCAGAGACGGACTTAGTTGGAGAAAGCTGGGCTGTCTGCTCCCCAGTCTGGCGCTCCTGTGGGGTGACGTCCAAGTTTTCCGCACTGTGTCCTCACTCAACAGGGAAGGCAGAAATTCTGGCTCTTCTCCCCATTATGCTGTTTACCTTTTCAAAAGTCACCAACTGGTAACTTAGACTCCCTGGGTAGTAAAAAGTGTCTTGCTTTCTAGATATCCTATGGCGTTCTCTGGACGCTGGGTTAATTTTTGTTTCATTCAGAAAGACCTGGTTGCTATTGAAATTCAGCCAGGTTAGCACCAATGCCAGGCTGAGGGGAACCCACGAAGGTGCCTTCAGGATGAGCACTGCCGCTTTTGCACTGAAAACCTCTGTATCAGGAGCTTCTTTATCAGAACCTGGTGGGATCGTTGTACTGCAAGTCCTAGGCTAGGACGGGATGAGTGGTGAGGCCTGGACTGTGGCTGTGGCTGGAAGTGTTTCCAGTTAGCCAGTCCCGATGCCCTCAGGGAGCTCCACTACCACTGGGGCACAGTCCTCAGGCTCCGCATCAAAGTCCCACCGGAACTTCTTGGTCAGGTGAGCTTGGAACTTTCTGGCCTTCTGCCTGAGGGCGGCATCCACGGTAAGGCTGCAGGCTGAGGAAAAGAACACCTACAGAGAACAGAGAGGGTAAGTCACTCCTGAGAGTACAGGGGGGGCCCGAGAGGCTGTGGAAATTTCCTCCTGGTGTTCAAGCGCTCTGGGGCGATCGGATAGATCAGCTGCTGCTGGCTCGGGCCCAGGACACCTGCTGTGCTCCTCACAAACCAAGGGAAAAAGGTCCAAACCCAGCTGAGAAGCTGGGGCAGGACTAGAATGGAAAATTCCCATCCTGGGCACATGTGGGTGTGAGCCCCGTCTCACTTGCTGGGACTCAGGGGCACCCCACGCCCTTCAGCGTGCCTCCCTGAAGGCCTCAGCCAGTCCGGGCTGGCTAAGGCAGGGCTTGGCCTCTTGGGCACCCCAGGCCGAGTCTTTGATACTGAACAGTGAGCAGCCAAGGGACCAGAAGCTTTGCAATTTCACACCATGGAGCGTGAGACCGCCACTCTGTTCCTGCCCACTAGGGACCGATCTTCCAGGGTACCTGGCACAGGGAGTAACTTTGCGGAAGAGGTAGTAGCTATACCAGCTGGTACTAAGACAGACCTGGGGTGTTCTAGGTCCCTAGGGCCCATAAAGTCCCAGGCCCCAAGCCAATGAAGCTGAACTGCTACGCATATCTTCAAAATGGGCCACTGGATGCCAATTTGAGGTTCTGCTTCCCTTTAAAAGTTGTCTTCAATGATCTTTTCAATTCCGTTTCCTCTAATACAAACAGAGGCAGGGAGGTAACAACAGCAATTTCCTCTACATCTAAAACCCTCATTCCAGCCTGCCCCATCCTCATCTCTTCCAAAGTAACAACCAACCCACCACTCCTCCTTCTTCCAATACTTGATTGTTTTCAGGCCCACTCCACTGACACAGGGCCCAGAAAGGAGCTGCAGCTCTCTGCTACCCATCACCCTCACGCCACAGCAAGTCCTCGGGCCTCTAGGGAAACGAGTCTGGGTCTGAGGAAAGCCTCCTCTGCATCTGATTCCCAGGACCACACCTCACCACCCTCTTCTCCAAGGACACAGCAGGAGCAAGGCTCATCCTCAGGCCATGTTGGAGTGGTGACGGGAGCAGAAGTGACATGGAGGGAGGGGCAGAGTTTGGCTTCATTAACTTGGGAATCGACTAAACACAGGAAGAGGATTGGCTGCAACGAAACCCCAGGTCCATAATGAATGAGAGGGCTGTGTGGTCTTGGTGGCGAGAGCCAGCAGCCTGTCCCGCGGGCCTTGGAGTGCTGAATCTGGAGCACAGCTGAATGCTGGGGAAGGACCTGTTAGGGCAGTGGTTCTCAACCTTCCTCATGACGCAACCCTTTAATGCCATGCCTCGTGTGGTGGTGACCCCCCAACCATAAAATTATTATTTTTTGTTTTATTTTTTTATTTTAAGATTTCATTGGGAGCTCTTTCAGATATTATTACAATCTATAGTTCCATTATATCAAGCATAATTGTACAATTGCTGCCACCATCGTTTTCAATACATTTTTCTTCTTGAATTCCTTGATATCAGTTCCCTGTTTATCCCCTCATAAAATTATTTTCGTTGCTACTTCATAACTGTCATCTTGCTACTGGTATGAATCAGGCAACCCCTGTGAAAGGGGTCATGACCCACAGGTTGAGAACTGTTGTGTTAGGGCAAGCAGAGACGCCTTGGTCTCATGGCTGCACACTGATGGCTCTGCTCCCAGGGGCCTTAGTGCTGACTTCCTCCCCGGTCTTGTGCCCCACCTTCCACAGGAAATGATACCACTCTCCATGGTCCTTCCTCTCCAGCCTCATTGAGAAGCATCCCAGCCAGGCTCTCCCTCCTCCGTAGTGCCTCTAGGCACAAATGCTTTTCCCTCTGCTTAGAACACCCTTCCACCCTCTGCCTTCCCTCGGTCATCTAGGCAACTGGGGAGAACGGGTGCTCCTCTGTGGTTGGCACTATCACAGCCCTGGGCTTCGTAAGTCCCCTTACCACCCATCTCTCCTGAAAGACAAGGGTCACCCCAATGCAGGGATTCTTCCTCATCATGGCAGTCCACACTCCTGGCACAGAGTCTGACAGATAAAAAGCACCTATTCCATGCGTAATGAACAAGAGAATGAAGACACCCACAAATTCCAGGGACATTCATTTGGGGTTCGCTACTGCCTGCCACATAGAAGCTGCTCAGTAACTATTCGGTAGTGCAAGATGGTGAAGGACCTACTTACTAGGTCCCTGAATTGACATAAGCTCACAAGCCACCTCTTTGTGACCTACCTCTTAAAAAAGCCAAGGCTGGAGCCTCTGTGTTCCCTGTGCCTTAGCCCCTGCCTTATAGCACTGACTGCACTGAGCTTCTATCAGTGACTGGTGAGTAGGGAAGGTACCTTGATTATCAGTGTATCCTACACAGCATATCGCCCATGGTCCAGCACAGAGTTAGGGTTGTAGGATGCTCACTGAACAGGTACAAATGAGCAGGAAGGTCTGGCCTACATTTGACAATGGCTAGTATTGAGAAAGGAGCCCCGGAGATGTAGTAGGTTATGCTGACCACAAGGTCAGGTGTTCGAACACACAAGAGAAAAATGAGGCTTTCTCCCACAAAGATTGACAGCCTCTGAAATCCACAGGCACAGTTCTACTGTCTTACAGGGTCCCTATGAGTTGAGTCAATGGCAGTGTGTGGGCAGTGGGAGACTGGAGGGCTTGTACGTATCACCCAGCCTCTCCACCAGTGATGGATTACCCAATAAGGTAAGCACAGGCTTACTGTGCTTACACACCAATCTGTAGTGAACAATTTCACAATTCTCCACCACATCCAAGATTCTATTGGCACTGGTCTCTCTCCCAACCCCACAGGGAATGTAAACCTTTCCAAATGTACATTCCCTGGCAGGGATGACCGGAGAAAGAGGAGGCTTTCTACTCCTGTACAGAGTTACAGTCTTGGAAACCCAAAGGAGCAGTTCTACCCTGTCCTACAGGGTTGCTCTGAGCTGGCACCGACTGCATGGCATTGAGTTTTGGGGGATGGAATACCCAGTCTGCAAATAGATTAGTAACTAAGTACAAGTCAGCCCATGCTTCCCTTGTCTGTTGGCTAGTCTGCCCAGGCTCCTCACGGACTGCCCAAACACTGCCTGAACCAGGGACAGGGGCAACAGAAACTTTGGTCTAAAAGAAAAAGCCCCTCTTTGCAGAGTCCTCTACCCTCTTGATGGCTCATCCCTCAAACCCAAAGGCAGGACAAGTAAAACTCAGGTAACAAACAGGCTCATCTTAAGCCACACACACACAGAGAAAGGAAGAGAAGTGCTTCATTTATCCTGTTGTGAGCACTTGCTGACTGACTGACAAACTGGGAGGTGGAAGAACAGGGCATTACTGACTGTCCTGCACAGCTGCGGACGCCGGGTGTGCCACATCAGGCAGGCAGGCAGACGTGCCGAGTGAGATCCGGTCCAAGTGGCGAAATCTTAATTCAGTCCTTTATTCCCTACCAAGAGTATCTTCTTTTTGTCTTGACCTATTCTTAATACAGCCTACTTATGAACGTCTTTCCTGTACTGCCCTGTGGGGTGTCAAGGAGCTTGAACGTCAGGTGCTCTGGAACTGCCCCTGCTGCGGGGCTCAGGACTGACCTTAAAAAAAAAAAATCAACTCGACTGAGGTATAATGCACATGAAGTGGAATTTGCTCCCTGCAAGTCTTCTACTCCTTTTTACAAACGTACACAACTGCAGCCACCACCATCATCAAGATATATGAGGACAGCCACACATTTATCTGTTGACAGGTTTTTTAAAACAGTGCTGTCTATTTTAAGGTCAGAACAGACTTGTGTATCCATCCCCACAATCAGGAAACTAAGTCGTTTTCCCTTCAACTCACCAGAATCCCTTTATGCTGTTCCTAAGCAAACCCTCCCCTATCACTACCCCTGACACCCACTGATTAATTTCCACACTCTAGCTTTACAAATGTGATATTTTTAAAAATTCCTCACAATTCAGAAAAGCAGTTGTTTAGACAGTAGTTCTCAACCAATATTTTTCCTTAGTTCTCTTACTTTCAAATTCATGCTATACCTTCTTCAAATAGAAATTTCATAATGACCTGGTTGGTTATTTCATTTACTAAAGTGAAATCAAGTTAGGAAATGAATCATCATTATATCAGCAGATTAATCCTGGAGGTTTTAAAAATACTTTTGAAATACCATCATTACATTCTGTAAACAACTGCCCTTGTCTGAAACAAAAAGCACACCATTGGCTGTTTTTCTTCCAAGAGAAAAACAACTATTAATGTTTTAACCATTAAGCCTGTGTATTATAAAATTAGAATTACTCATAAATGTGAAAGAAAGCTTTTTTAAAAATTGAAATCAATTTAATTCAGTCAGGTCATTTTGAGAAATTCAAAATAGCAAGGTGGGTAGCTGAATGACTATTTTATCCTCTGTGGGGTTTTTTTGGTTTGTGGGGGGGAGGGGGGAAGGCTAGAAACAAGGTAAAATTTCCTAGCTTTTCAATCCCCACTCATGATTCTCACCTGAGAATCAAACATTTTACTTCCACTTCTAGAAGAAGAAACTGAGTCGGAAACAGGACTATCACTCCACAGTGGTGAGCAGGAAGGTGACACACTTAAAGGCTGATTTAAAGGGTCTTGGATGTTTCCCCGGGGCTGTCATCATGTGGTAGCCCACCACAGGTGTGGAACTCGGAGCACAGCCTTGCCACCCACTGGCTCTGATTATGTGGCCCTCTGATCCTGCTCCTCATCTGTAAGGTGGGATTATACACGCAGCCTTCCAGCCTTGCTGTGAGGGTCAATAAGAGCCTGCCCCACAGGTGCAAACAAGTGACAGGTGAGGGCAGATGTCGCACCAGGGAGGTGAGTTATGTCACAGCTGATGTTACAGTGCAAATACTAGCGAGGCACTGCCAGAGCCGAAGCGTTTCTGCAAGGTAAAGACAGCCCCTGGCTCTAACGAACCTGGAAGTCCCACTTGTCCTACAGTGACAAAATTCCTAAAAAAATCAGGTATGCACTTAGCAATCTAAGTCCCCCTACTCTGCCCAGAACTCACTTTCTAACATACATCTAAACTCAGATGGTCCTTTCAGTGGTTTTAAACAAACTATAGTGATTTAAATTGCTTAAACAAACAAACAAACATGTATCTATTTTGAACACAATTTTTTGCTAAATCTAAGGGATTTGTAAAAAGGGTTCACTCACATGAGAAAGTCAGGGAAAATGAATGGCAGAAACCCTTCGGCGGCAGCTGTCTTTACGGGCTGACGAGTGCAAGCATCAGCCCCTCTCCATGGGCGAGTGGCCATTTCAGCTTCTCAGGAAGAAAGCAAGCCAATTCTACTGACAGCGACCTGGGGGCAGAGCAGGCCGCTGGCTGCGGAAAGCTTTTATGGGCTGATTCATTCACTCACAAACACTCTGAGGGAGTGCCTCTTGCGTGGGATTGGATTCTCGCTGCCAGGATGGGATCAATGTGACTTTCCATTATAAAAAGTTTTGCAACATCCTTAGCCATATTATACCTATTAAAATATCAGTCATCTCTCACGCTCATGACCAAGTGCTCACTTCATATAAAGCCACTGCCGATCCTCTACCCCCTCAACCTTCACCCCAGTCAGAATGAGCCACCTCCTCGCAGGTGCTCCAATGCTTGTGGTCCACACTTCAGTTTATCCCCATGAGAACAGGGCCATGCCTTTAACCTGCTCCAACTAAAAGCCCAAGGGAACACAAACCCAGGTACCTGCCAGGCCTTGTACTAGGTTTTGAAGAGAACCAGGTGAACAAAAAATAGGTCTTGTTTAAAGGAGTGCATGGCTCCGTGAGGACGTCAGACAGGCAAGAGTTTAATTTCAGCCAGCTCAGTCCATGCACCAGAACAATGGTTATGTAGCTACCAGGATGGGAAGACCAGGGGTGGCTTCAGACAAGAATGCCTGAAGGGCATCTTGTCAAATGAGCAAGTACATTGCAGGCAGAGGGAAAGTCAGGTTCCAGGAAGAAGGCATGAAACAGCCTGGCATGTCTGGGAACTTACAAGGAGGCAGCTGTCCTCAGAGCTGGCGGAGGAAAGCGGAGAGAAGGAGGGCTGGAGAACCAGGCAGGAGCCAGATCAGAAGGGGCCTTGAGAGCGATGTATGGAATGTTCATTTTCTCCGCAACATGGGGCCACAGGAAGACCCCCGAGAAAGAGGACGGGAGCTGCATTTAGAGCAGTCCCTCTGGTGGCAGCGGAGGAGATGGAAGAATCAATGGGGTGAACATGGAGGCTGAGAAGGCAGGTATAAGACTGACACACTCGGATGCAGTCTAGATGGGACCAAGAGGGTAGTAAATCTCAATCTCTCTGCCATTGAGTTGATTCTGACTCACAGCGACCCCATAGGGCAGGGTGGATTTTTGAGATTGTAACTCTTCACGGAAGTAGGAAGCCTCCTCGTTCTCCCGAGGAGTGGCTGGAGCTTTCCAACTGCTGATCCTGGGGTGAGCAGCCCAACACATAACCACCATGCCACCAGGGCTCCCTACAAAGGGAAGTTCTGCCTTCTAAAACACTGTTTATTATCTGGAATTGTTGGGTTAATTCATTTCCAACTTTCCCACCTAAGTATGGGCTCTACTCCGGGGACTGTGTCTTGCTCATAACTACATCCTTAGTCTTAGAACTGAGCCTTGTACAGAATCAGTGCTCAGTAAATCCCTGCTAAAGCAAGTGAACAGAACCCACGAAGGAAAGAGCCCTGGCTAACAGATAAAATCATCTTCAACACTGCATGTAGTGCCTTGTATGTAAAGGAGGCTCAAAGACCTAGGCTAATAATAAGTTTTTAAAAGTGTACTTGTCCTGGATTTTTCCAAATAACAACATCAAATAACCTTGGTGAAAGTTCAAAGACAGAATTTTTCCAACCAGCAGCTTTGCACACCCACCTGGGCATCAAGGAATCCAGCTGGGACCTTTCTGATTTGTACATCACTGCTGGCAACAAAGCCTGGGCAATTAGAGCTCAGCTGTCGGATGTGCTGACAATGGGCAGGACAGCCAGTCACACAGCATGGCCACCCGTGTTGGTGCGACGGCACGCATTACACCGGGGGGCAGCACATCATTCCCAAGCTGCAGCCTCCTCACAGGGCTCTATAACCCACAGCCCAGAAACGTTGGGGGAGGTTCCACTCAGAGGCTGGGGCAGCAGACTCAATTTCTCTGTGATAGCAGACTAATAAAAGGACAGGTTCCTAACTCTGCTAAAGTGGGATCCACCATGCTCCAGGCATCAGCTTGAAGTCAGCTGCCACCTCACAGGCTAAGCACTCACAGGCTTCTGCCAAGTCGGCGGGTTTTAGAAGAGGGTCCTGGACCTCTGTAGCCTGACAGGGTCTCCAATGATGTGAATCAAGAATCCTCTTGAGGGGGACCCACATAGCATTCAGTACATAAAGGACACTCAACCAAAGCTCAGGCTTCGGTACAAATACCGACTTGGCCACTTACCAGCTATGTGATCATAAGTAACTGAGTTCACCTCTCCCAGACCTCCACTTTCTCATCTGTCAACCAGGAGTACCCTTTCCTGCTTTCCAGAGTTCCAGAGAGATGCAATGAGGGAGCCCACACCCACACCAGGAGATGCTCGGTGCCTAATACCCAACAGGCACTTTATGCATGTCCGTTTCTGCCCTGAGCCTGGCTGGGCAGGGGAGGTGACTGAATCCCACCCTGAGTGCAGCCAGCCCCACGGGTCCCATACATCGTCACAGTGAGCAAGCGTGCCTCTTCTACACTCGAGAAACTTACAAAACGTGAGTGGCAGAGGCTGTACCAAGTCCATAAAGGAGGCTAATCTGTTTGCAAAGGGAGGAAATAGCACAAGAGGAAGATTGCAAATTGTTTGAAGCTCCTTCCCTAATTACCACTCATAATGAAAATTTAATTGCCAAGTTAAAAGCAAATTTCACTTTTTCTGTCAGAGAATCTCTGCAGAAACTGGCACATTTTGTTTGAACAGGAAATCAAAGTTACTTTAAGGCTTAAATGAGATGTAAGGAGCTGCAGATGTTTCACTGGGAATAACAAGCTTCAAAACTCTGCCTTTCTGGGCTGCAGGAACTTGGGGCTACAAGGTGAAAAAACAACCAAACAGTTTGGAGCTGTGTCATTCAAAGCAGTAGTAATTCAAATTCCAAATACTCTAGCACTAAGCGCTCTGGGGGCAGGGTGGTACAGAGTCTCTAGCATCCAGGAGCTCACAATCATGTAGGGAGAAAGGACAGGAAACATATGGGGATGAAGCAACCTCTGGGTCTTGGAAGAACAGTAAGAAGTACAAAGACGCTTTCCAGCCTGGTTCCGGCACTCTGGGTCTTACAAAATGAGATAGAGAAAAGAAGAGCCATTCTGCTGTCAATCAAGCGGTGACCACAGAGAACACAAGCAGCGCTCCCACACACCTCCATGGAGGGGGCTCCCCAAAGCAGGGCTCTTGGGCAGAGAGACCTGGAACTCTGTCACTACTTCCAAACACCAAGCCAAGGCGGGCAGAAAACTAACAGCAGATTATCAATAAAGTTATACAACTTCCAAAAAAGAAACAAAAAGGTAGCCCCCCTGAGGGTCCTTCCACACACTCTGATCTCAATTGTGACCCACCTCCCTGCTGGCAGACTGCTCACCTGCAAAGTGCTTGTGAGGAAGTTGCTCTGGGAGACAATGTCCACAAAGAAGTCAGGAGGGATCTCGCCGAGCTGGTGATACAGGATGGAGATGAGGTTGATGTAGAGGGTGTTGTGCTTCACCATGGCCTCTTCGGACCGGCACAGGAGGTTCAGGAGCTGCTTCCAGTGCTCAAATGCCTCGTACACGTTCCCCAGCAAGAAGCATACAAACGCAAACTGGAGTTCACCTGAAAGGTGCAGAGAGCAGAGATGACCCTGGGGGAGAGGACTTCAGCAACAGGTGACCTTTTATCCTGGCCACTCCTGCAGAGGCTAGCACGGGTGTTCACTATGTTGATGGAACTGCCAAAATCTCAAGTCACGGGAGGTCAAACAGTTAATAGTCTTGGAGTTCGGGAAAATTCAGACGCAGAGATGAGGCAGACCTCGTCTTTGTGCAGTGGAGGCACTGTTCTTTCTCAACTGGCTCTGCCTGGTTCATTTGTGAAACTAAACATGGGCTTGGGTTCTGCATGTTTCACATTTATATAAATTCATGCATTTCTGGCCTCGTCTAAAATTAAATTATGATATCAGAAGTGCTTCCAAAGTGTGGTCATGTTGATTCAAAGTTATTCCTGTAACAGCTCTCTTCACAAGCTATACTTTGAAGAACTGAAATATCTAAGCGGTAAAAAACTGGATTTTCAGCCATTTTAAAGTCTGAATTTCAAGTGTGACTTATTAAATGAAAATGCGGTGTAATGCATTAGACGCACCCACTCAACTGTCCCTTTTTTTATCAGCGGGAGGGTGCCACACACCCTGCCTCAGCACTTCCCCTGCTGAAGGCGTGCCTAAGTGTGCACCAGGGTGTTCCTCAGATGACATGCACAGGAGAGACTCACGGACACCCTAAAGGACTGAGTCCCCGGCCATGGGGACCTGATTTTTGTAACAAATTATATCACACATAGTATAATAAATCTTTTTTAAAAGACTACAAGGAAATCACAGAAACATAAAAGACTGAATGAAGTACACAGACATAGACTGAAAAAGAGAGAAAGTAAAGACACCAATATAGTAAAATGACTATTTCTAGGTTGTGGGATTTGTTTGTCTTCGTTAATAACATGAATTTATAAAATCAAAAATAAAACCTAGTAACTTCTATAATGCATGTGTACATATGGGTGTATGTTTTAAATAAGGGATAAAACAACAAAACCCCAAAAATAACAATATAAAGAAATCCCTGTCTCATCTAAGCTAGTGGCGAAAGAGCATCTTGAAAGAGCCAGGAACAAACTGAGGAGGTCAACAGGAAGCTACTTAAAAAGCAGGTCTGGCTTGGAACCCAGAATCCTGGGCTCTGGGCTCTTTTCCCCACGTGGTTGGTGAAGCCTTTTCCTCTGTGGACCTCAATCTATCTGTAAGATGAGGGGCTGGGCCACATCAGTGGTTCCCAAACACAGGGTTACCTGAGGGCCACACAGGGCGCTTCTTTGTCAGACGCCAGATCTCTTGAATCAGCCTCCTGAGGTAAGGCCCAGACATTTGTATCTTTCAAATGTACTGGCCTAGGCACCCCTGGACAAGATAACCCAAGATTCTAAAACCCTGTCCTAAAGTCCCCGGGCCCAGCCCCAAAGAGCTTGCTCCTTACCGAGCACATCCTGGGGGCTGCCGGGGAAGTGTTTGCTGAGCACTGTCTCCAAAGCATAGCTCAGGTCCATGCTGTGCCTGGTTATCTCTGCTGGAGTGGCGCCATCAGGGAACATCTGCGTGGGCAGCTCTGAGAAGCGGATCTCTGTACCAGCTCTGGGCTTCATCTCGGGCAGCCGAGCCAGGCCCTCCTGGTAGCTTTTGCACTCCGTGCCATACTGGGGTAGATTCTGCCCCATCCGGTCCTTGGTATGCTTCATGGTAAGCACAGGCAGTACATCTGAGAAAGCACAGATGTGCCGGTTCTCGGGCTGCAGTTTCTCCATCATAGCCTCGCTGAGGAAGCTGGTGAGAGAAATCCACTTCTTGAGCGTGGCGTATGGGTAAGGGCCCAGGAACTGGTCCAGCTCCTGGAGGTTGGCCCTCATGGCCTCCACCTCGGCCTCTGGGGCTGGAGATAGGTCCACCTCTTCCTGGACTGCGTTCCAACGCAGCACTGTCAGCCCCCGTTGCTGCAAGCTGAGGAAGAAGCCCATTCGAGGGCCAACGTCCTTTGGATTGGCTTTGTCCACAGAGCTATAGTGGAGGAAGTGGATGCCGGGCGGGATCATCTTCACACCCCGGAACTTAGGCCCCACCTCCCAGGAGTTGTAGTCAATGCCAAACTCAGTCCCCTTGGGCATGTTCAGGATGACCACAGTGGCCCCCTCAAAGAAGAGGCGCTTGGCAAGCTCAGGATCCATCTGCATGGTAGCCATGCGGGCAGTGATGGGTACCGAAAACAAGAATCCTTCTTCCTTGTCTTTGAGAACAGCTGAAGAATAAAGAAACCAGAGTTAAACAGAACTTGGGGAAGGCAGCTGATTTGCCGAGCAGGTTCTGTGTCAGGCATTGAGTTAGACCCTGACACCCTAAGCTCCCTTAATCCTCACCACAATCCTGCAGGCAAGAATTCTGGGTGCCACTTCACAGAGGAAGAAACTGAGGCTCAAAGAGGAATTTCGTGTTTGATTTAATGAGCAGTAACACCCACTTCATAGCTAGAAAAAGAAAAACAAATCACCAAATTCACTGTCATTAAATCAAGTCTGACTCATAGCGACCCTACAGAATCGGGTGGAACTGTCTCTTTGGATTTCCAGAACTGCAACTGTTGACAGTAGAAAGCACTATCTTACTCCAGCAGAGCAGCTAGTGGAGTCAAACTTCTGTCCTTGAGGTCAGTAGCCCATCACATTATGAGCAGGTCACACAGGAATCCAGTTAGGACCTGGCCAGCCTCTAGGCTGGTGTCCTTTCCCCTGCTCATTCCTAATATCTAATCTGAGAGCTCTCTCAAAACAACAGAGGGGGCCATAAACGACCACTCTGCCTAAAGCCTATTGCTGAACAGGAAATTTCAAAAAGCAGCTCAAAAAAGACAAAGTATTATAATGAAATGTGCAAAGAACTGGAGTTACAAAGTCCAAAAAGAACATGCTCAGCTTATCTCACGCTGAAAGAATTGAAGGGGGAAAATGCAAGCCTTGAATGGAAATATTGATGGATTCTGTGGGCAAAATATTGAACGATGCCTAAGGGCACAAATAGAAAATAAATATTTAGAAAATGACGGCAACATATGTACAAATATGCTTGATACAATTGGTGTATGGAATGTTATAAGAGCCCCCAATAAAATGACACACACACATATATATATAAATGAATACAAGAAGCATCAAAAGAAGATATGAGGAATATGCAGAACTATAAAAAACAAACGAACTAAAACCATTTCAAGAGGTAGCATATGATAAAGAATCAATGGTCCAAGCTGTACTGAAAACATTAGGAAAAAACAAGGCTCCAGGAATTGACAGAAAACCAACTGAAAGGTTTCAACCAACTGATGAAATGAAATACTGGAAGCATTCACTCATCTATCTAAGAAATTTGGAAGACAGATACCTGGCCAACGAAAGGTGACCCAACAGAATGCTAATTACAGAACAATATCATTAATATCACATGCAAGCAAAATTTTGCTGAAGATAATTCAAAAACAGTTGCAGCAGAACATGAACAGGGAGCTGCCAGAAATTCAAATTAGATTCAGAAGATGGCGTGGAACAAGGTGATGTCATCATATGGACCTTAGCTGAAGTAGAGAATCCCAGAAAGACATTTGTGTTTTTTGACTATGCAAAGACATCTGATTATATGGATCACAACAAAGTATGGGTAACATTGACGAGAAAGGAATTGACCGGAACACTTCCTTGTGCTGATGCGGGACCTGTACATGGACCGAGAGACATGCATTCCAGCTTAACATGGGAATACTGCACAGTTTAAAATCAAGCGTGGTGTGTGTCAGCGGTGTATCCTTTCATCATATTTAGTCAATCTGAGCGAAGAGCAAATAATCCAAGAACCTGGACAATATGAAGAAGAATGGGGTATCAGGATCAGAGGAAGGTTTATTTACCTGTAATATGCAGGTGACATAACCTTGCTTGCTTGAAGTACTTGAGTATGAATTACAACTCAATGTAAAGAAACAAAAAACCCTAACAACTGGACCAATAGCCAACATCAAGATAAATGGGGGAAAGGATGAAGCCATTAAGGATTTCATTGGGCTTGGATCCGGATCAATGCTCATGGAAGCAGTAGTCAAGAGATCAAAAGCCACATGTGACTGGTAAATCTGATGCACAAGACCTCTTTAAAATGTCGAAGAGATGTTACCTGGAGGACTAAGGTGCACCTGGCCCAAGTCTTGTTATTTTCAATCATTTCATCTGGATGTGAAAGTTGGACAATGAATAAGACTGGAAAAAAATCCCACTGCATTTAAATTATGGTGCTGCACAGAGTATTGAAACTACCATGGACTGCTAGAACAAAGAAATATGTCTTGGAAAGAGTACAGTCACAACGCTCCTTAGAAACAATGATTGCAAGACTCTGTCTCATGTACTTTGGACATGTTACCATGAGAGACCAGTCCCTGGAGAAGGACAACATGCTTGGTAGAGGAGTAGGGAAAAACAGAATGACCCTCAAAAAAGGAAGTTCATCAAGATAAACTGACAATTAGGACACTATGGGAAGTGGATGCTCAGGATCTAAAATCTATAAAAGGGTTGAGAAGTGGAAGCCTTTTCAGCCCTAAACCCCTCTTCTCCTTTTAGTCATTGGAGGAAAAAAAAACCCTAAACTAAACTGAAGTCCGAAGAGTAAAACATCTTTCCAAAGGGCCCTGGGTCAGCAGTGCTCTTGATTACCCTCCCAGAAGGAATTCAAGCAGGGAAAAGGGCCTAGGATCAATACTCACAAGAAAACGAATTTCGAATTCGTATTTCCCCTTACCTTTGAACTACCCCTGAGGACATACTGTAAGTTCCAGCATTTTAAACCACCTAGTCTCAATTCAAATTCACTGAGTGCTGCATTGGGCCCGGACCTTGGCTGGAAACATCCAAAGTAAGACAATCACTGGCCTCAAGGCACTTAAGATCGAGTTGGATGTACAATATGGTGACCGACCAGACATCCCGATTTTTAACAAATTTTCCCATGTCCCACGGCATTTTTAAAAAGTCCTAATTTTTGGAAAGAATGCACGACAAGCTAGGGCATACGGTTTTTGGCTGCCATGTGGCTATTTGGTCAGGATATGAATTTTATCAATGGTGTCCCGCTTTACCAATGTTAAAATCTGGTCACCTTAATGTACAAACCAAGACCCTAAAATTCACAAACAGTACACGATGCCTGCTGAATCCCCCATCCTGCCCTTAAAACAATGGAAAAATAAAATATTGAGAGGAAAATTGTGTAATCTTGATTCAAAAAGTCTACCAATAACTCTAAATGTGCCTATTTTTCAGAACCCATCCAGGGGTTATCAGAGTCCATCACAATGGTAAGGATTTAAGTGCTGGGCTTTGTGTGTGTGTGTGTATACTTGGTTGCCACACAAAAGGTATGTTACTAGAATTCGTAGTAAAAAAAAAAAAGTTCCTAGATCAGGAGAAAGATGAGCCTTTCTCCTCCTGTAAAAGAGTGACAGTCCAGGAAACGCAGGGGCAACTCTAGCCTGTCTTTAGGGTTGCCACGTCAGAACCCACTAGATGACAATGGGTTTGGTTTGGTTTCTAAATAATTTGTGTAGTTAGCTTTCTGTTCCCGATCCTGAATGCAAAAGGTAGCTAATAACTATTTGTTGAATGACCAGATAGCCCACTTTGAAAAATTCTAATTCATAACTACCTACTGCTCCTTGTGGTACCCTGTTATTGCTCCTCTTTGATCATGATTCTGTTCATTCTACCGTCATCAGCCTGTGCCTCTCAGGGCCTGGCACGGAGATGCTGGGGAAGGTTTTCTGGAATCTGCTGAGAACGAGACGACCAATCAATCTCACTTCCAACCAACCCTGAGTTCTTCAGAGCCCACAAAACTCCATCAATCCACTTCTCTCCACCAATCCCCGCATCACCACCAATCTGCCATCTTCTCTGGTCGGAGGGCACTTCCCCTTCCATGCCTTCTCCAGAGGGACCGTTTCAAAATGCCAATCCAATCGTGTCGCCAGCTACACCCTCGGGGCAGTTCTTGGGAAACTGAAAAGCCTCGCGCGAACTACAAAGCAAAGCCTTCTCGCGGGTTCCCGGCAGCCTCTCCGGCTTCCTTTGCGACCGCGGTCCCCCGCCAGCTCGGCC